CCCCCACACACACACACACACACACACACACACACACACACAGACTCACTCACACACACACTCTCACACACACACACACACACAGTCACACACACTCACACACACACACACACACACACACACACACATACACAAACAGAAACACACAAACAGTCTCACTCACACACACAGTCTCACACACACACTTTCTCTAAATTCTGACTTTAAATCTTGCAATTCTGTTTTTTCCCCCCGCCACGGAATTAAAAATAAAAAAGTAAATTGTGACTTCTTATCTCACATTTCTGACTTTTTCTCACAATTGAAAGTTTATATTTCACAATTCCAACTTTTCTTCTCAGAATTGTGATTTCATATTATTAATTTTCACAATTCTGAGTTTATATCTCACAATTCTTACTTTTTTCTCAGAATTGCAAGAAAAAAAAACAAAATTGAGAGATAAAAAGTCACAATTACCTCTATATCGTGTAAAAGAAAAAATGAGCTCACAAATGGTTTTAAAAATGGAATGCGAAAAAATGGAATTAAACATTAAATAGTGAAGAAGAAAGACTAAAATAGTTTTTTTTTTATAAAAGGTACTCCAAAAATCTTTTTATTTACAACTTTGAAAAATCCTTTTTTAGTGTGTGCTTTAGCATGTTAGTCAACACATCAAAATAAGTGTACAGCTTCAAAATTTAATGATGTAAAATGTACTTTAAAGCAAAACTTTCAAATTGACATCATTTCAAATGTCTTTTTTTAAAAGTGCACTTAAGTGTGTGCCTTTTATTTCATTAATATATTATCTGCAGGTACAGTGTAAAAATAGACTTTTAAGATTTGAAGTCTGTTCATTTCTAAGGTGTTGTGAGTGTTGCTATGCGGTTGCTAGGGTGTTTCTAGGCGAGTGTCTATGATCTCGTGGTGAACTCTGGAATAACAATAGTTCTGTATCAGTCCGGCTAATGAAGGATTATTTGACTTCTTTCTTTTCTTTCAGATGAAAGATGCACACACACACAAACACACACACAGTCTCACTCACACACACACACTCACACACACACACACACACACACACACAGTCTCACTCACACACACGGTCACACACACACACACACACACACACACACGGAAACACAATACAACACACATCGAGGTGAATGTCATGAAAACAGGTTCACATCCACCCCAAAGAAACTTGAATTTACCTCTAATTGCTGTCTCTCTCTCTGTCTGTCTTTTAGCCTCATCACGTCCCTGAGTCGTGCAGCTTCACTCTGGGTCCCGCGGGTGTGGCTGGAGATCAGGTGTGCGGTGTGGTGCCGTGTTGGGATGTTCTGCAGGACAGTCAGACAGCAGAGGACATGCAGCTGTCGTCGAAGCAGCTGCTGCTGAGTTTGGAGAGTGCAGAGGCGCAGTGGAGTCCTCCAGCCCTCGTGAGGACAGATTTCCCCAGACAGAGCGTTCCTGTGCCGGTGGAGCCGGACACCGACTGGCCCTTCAACACCAGGTACAGCAGAACCACAGCAACACTTCAGTCATGTGTGCTAATGTGCTGCTAACACACTTCAGTCCTCAAGAGGGCACTAGAGAGATGTCAGTGTCATTCTGGAGGTGCAGCTGGTTAGTTTGGTCTAGTTAGTTCTGCTGCAAAATGACATAATTACACTGACCACCAACAGAGACTGTATTTCACCACAAGTCTATGAATGTGAGAAACTGCAACACGATATGGTGGAATAAATCCTGCTTCTAAATAAAAGAGGCAATAGATAAAGACATTTCATCACTGTAGCTCCTATTAGAAGCACCGATAACATTGAAGCAGTCAGTGAAACCGTTTACTAATGAATGCTGTAGCACTGAGACTGAGGTGTGTGTGATCGGACACATTCAGAAACACAGCGAATCGTGAGATCAAGCGCTTGTGTTCATGTGTGCTCAACTGAACTCTCTCTCTCTTTCTCTGTGAGTCTGGTGTTAATAATGACGCACCCGGGCGTCTCGGGTGTCTGTGGGTGGAGGGTTGGGCGGCTTCTGTGGTCAGTAAGTGACTCAGCTGTGTGTGTGTGTGTTTCAGGCCTCTGGTTCTGACCTGTCAGGAGCATCTGGGCGTCACGTATCTGACTGTGAGTGAAGATCAGTGTCCACGCATGCTGATTCACAACCGCTGCCCCAAGAGCCTCTTACTGAGGGAGAACACCAGGGGTCACACACACACACACACACACACTCACACACACACACACACACTTACTCACACACACATATAATCCTGAACACTGTAGGTCATTGCTCATGTTAATGTTCAGCGTGTGTTTCAGAGTCAGAGAGGTCAGAGGTGTTCAGCCGGACGGTTCCTGCTCTCTCTTCTGTCCATCATGAGTTGTTTCATCAGGCCTCCAGCTTCCCTGAGTGCCGACAGAAAGAGACGCTGCCCACCCTGCAGCTGCGCATCATCACGGACACGCCCACCGGTCACTCAGCCACGCCCACCGGCCGCACAGACACGCCCCCCTCACCAGGCTGGACTGATGCCATCGATATCAGTAGTCCTGGAACACAGGTGCACAGCTGCACAACACCTCACACTAGAGCTGCACAGATTCAGGTGGAATCAGATTGAGATTTTTCTGATAAAAAAAATGCCATTTAAAAAAAAAAACTGTTTGCTGTGCTCGTTTGAAGGGCTGCACACTTTGGCCAAACTTTTTAAATATCTAGTAATAATAAAAGTAATAATAATAATAACTATTATTATTTGTATTATTATTACTATTAAAAAAAAAAATACTATTGTAATATCACCATAAAAAATCAAGTATTTAAGAAAGCTTAGCTTAGGCCCGCCTGTGCCGTAAGGCGCATTGGGCGGCAAGTTTCCTCCAACTTGATCGATCGGCCGCGATGTTTTCAGCTTCATCCCATGAAACGACTTTCAGATCTTCAATAAAGGTACGACGCCAAGTTGTTCGTGGTCGACCTCGTTTTCTCTTGCCGTGGGGTGGTTTCCATATGAGTGCGGTTCTTGCGTGTTTAGAAGGTAGTCGTCGAAGGATGTGACCAACAAATTTTAGTCGGCATTCGGTGACAACTTCTTGGAGTGGTCGAGTGTCAGTTCGACGATAAATCTCATCATTGCTGATATGGTCTCGGTACGACACACCCAGAATTCTTCGCAGACATCGCTGCTGGAAGACATTAAGCCTTTGGGCAATTCTCGCAGACATCTTCCAAGTTTCCGCCGCACTGATTGCTGTTGCTACGACGATGCTGCTAAATAAACGCACCTTGGTCTTGATTGAAATTATTGTGGCTGTCCAAACGGGCTTGAGTCTTTGGAAGACTGCTGAAGCTTTGCCAATCCGGCATGTGACGTCATGCTCAGCATCTTCATCACTCGTCAAAAAACTGCCCAAATAGGTGAACTTGTCCACTTCCTCAATTTGTTGTTGTCCAGTATTCGAAAGGGCATGTTTGGTGGCGTATCCGACTCGCATAACCTTGGTTTTACTTGTACTTATGCGAAGCCCTATGATGGATAGTCGTTGCTAAAGTTCCAAACTCTGTTTGATGATGTTCCGTAGAGTAAAGATTTGGTCATTGCAGGATCGACCACAACGAAATCCAGCTTGTTCTTCTCGAAGCTTCTTGTCAACTGCTTCTCTTAGGCGCCGTAGAAGGACGATGCAGAATACCTTTCCAGGAACGGATAGGAGCGTGATCCCTCTCCAGTATATGATACGCTTCTGATGACTCCTGTCGTTCTTGATCCGTCTTTGCCTGTTCACGTCGCACTTTTGCTTTCTGCCTTTCATCAATAAGATTCCATGATCGGTCTTGGATCCACCGCTCCTTATAAGTTCCGCGTCTTCTTCCTATAGTCTTTTCAGCACAATCGGCGACTATTTCCTTGAACTTTGCCCAAGGGTCATCCATTTCGACTTCATCTATGAGAACCTGAAATCGATTTCTCAGTTCCCACCTGAATTGATCAGATGTTGCTTAATCTTTCAGCTTCTCTACAGCAAACGGGCAGGGGCTTTGCTGTTTTGTTCGAAGTCGACATTTTCCAAGGAGGAGGTAATGGTCAGACCCAACATCTGCTCCTCGTCTCGCCCTCACATCCATGAGGCTCGACCGCCAGCGCTTGCTTATGCAGATGTAGTCGATTTCATTGAACGTTTGACCAGCTGGTGATCGCCACGTTTTCTTATGGATTCTCTTGTGATCAAAGTAGGTATTTCCGACTGTCAGACCGTTTACTGAGCAGAGCGAGATCAGCCTATGGCCATTGTCGTTTGTAATGTTTGCAGTGGCATGGGGGCCAATAACATGTTCATACCCTTGTCGATGTCTTCCGATCTTGGCATTGAAGTCTCCCATAAGAAGCACTAGGTCATGACGAGGAATATCATCCATGATCTCCTGCAGTTGGTCGTAAAACAAGTCCTTGTCCATATCATTTGCGTCTTCAGTTGGGGCGTAGGCTTGTATGACGGTAATCTTGTAGAGCTGGTTTTGGAATCGGGCGGTAATGACGCGGTCATTTGCGAGCTTCCATCCAATAAGCGCTTTCACTGCCCTCGCAGACATTACGATACCGACTCCACGGGCATGTTCTGTATTGTGAGTAGATGATGGTTTTTCCGTCATTGGACATCTGTCCATTCCCCGTCCACCTGGTTTCGCTCAGTCCAAGAATGTCCAAATGGTATCGTTCAACTTCTCCAAGTAGTTGTGCCAACTTGCCACACTGGTATAGTGTTCTGACAATCCATGTCCCTAGCTTTGTTAGTAGTTTTGCGTCAAAGATCGAACCACGCATCAGGTGTTGAACGTCCTTGCGGCTTTGGTCCAACCCTGTCACAAAATGGTTGACTTCTCCGCAGGGGGTGAGCAGATCAAGTTGATTGTTTCTTCTTGCCGTTTCTGTAGTGATTTTGTTTTTTAATGGTGTCGGGTTGCTAGCCCGACGCCCAACCCTCCTTCTTTCTCATCCGGGCTTGGGACCGGCTATGGCAGTTTTAAGAAAAAATAATATAATAATAATAAAAATAATAAATGTATTTTACAATACAAGTTACAATAAAATTGCATTAGTAATGTTTGTCTTAATTTCTTCACTTCCAAACATTAAACCGTTGAGCTTTAGTTTTCATGGTAAACCGCAGGGACATTAAACATGCAGATCACAGGAGCGTTGAGAGTGTGTGTGTGTGAGTGTGTGTGTGAGTGTGAGTGTG